TTGGCAATCAAATTTTCTCTTTGATCTCTTATTGAAAGACTATGATCTTTCAAATAAATATCATAGCCCTTCTCTAAGATTTGTCCTAAACTTAAAATGTTATTCTTCATATTGGGCACATAATAGACATTTGAGATAAACTGATGCGTACCATTTTTTAAGCGGATCAAGATTTTACCTTTTCTTTTCACTGGGATCTTGGATTCATCTCCAAAGGTAATGTTGCCGCTTACTGATTCATCAAACTCCACAAACATATTTTTTCTTCCACACATATGGTTGCTTGATCCTGTATCCAAATACCAAGTGTTCTTTCTTTGCTATCTTCACCTTTGTAAGCCAACAGTAGCGCATGATCCACTTCACTTTCCCAACAAGCGTAGTTGGCTTTCTCCTCAACTTGGTTAGTAATATTTCTACATTCTGAAGCATAATGACCAAGTTTTTGACAATTGTAACATTTAATTTAAGATTTGTCATACCTTGGTCCTTCATTTTTCCTCGTACCTTTCCTCTTCCGCGACCTCTAGTAGAAAACGAACTTTGTCTTCTTTCCTCCTTGTAGAATGCAATTCTTCCTCGATCTTGGCCTCGTCCTCTTCCTCTTTGGCTTCTTCTACTATTGAACCTTCCTTCACCCTCGTTCAAAGTGAGCTTTGTTTGAAAAGCTTGCTCTAATGGCTCTTCTTTCACTTTCTTCCTTAGTCTTTCCTCATGGGCTTGTAAAGATCCCATGAGTTGATCGACACTCATACTATCTAGATCTTTAGATTCCTCAATGGCTACAACTATGTAGTCAAATTTAGATTCTAAAGACCTAAGTATCTTCTCATTTACTCGAGCGTCGTTCAACTTTTCTCCATTCCTTTTTAATTGATTCACAATAGCTAATACTCTAGAGAAGTAATCAGAAATTGATTCCGATTCTTTCATATGTAAAGCTTCAAACTCACCTCGAAGTGTTTGAAGTCGAACCTTTTTCACCTTCTCAACTCCTTTGTGGGAGTTTTGCAAGATCTCCCATGCTTCCTTACTTGTAGTAGCACAAGGTACTTTCTCGAACATGCCTTCATCTAAGGCATGATAGATGAGGGTGAGCGCCTTCTTGTCTTTCTTCCTTGCATCCTTCAAACTATCCCTTTGTGCTTGGGATAGAGCAACCTCGTCTTCTGGCTCCATGTAGCCTTTCTCTACGATCTCCCATACATCTTGCAACCCGAGCAATGCTTTCATCCTTATACTCCAATTGTCGTAGTTATCCTTGTTGAGTTGGGGGACTTGAAAAGGAATCATCCCACTTGCCATTTTCACAAGAACCTTGGGGCTCTGATACCAGTTTGTTGGAGGAAAGATGGGTTTACTAACTTGGATTGGCTAAAACTTTTAAGAGGACAACACTAATAGGAAGAAGGAAGTGAAAAAGGAAACTTGTATTTCTCAAATTCAAGACTTTACACACTTTTGGCTTGTTACAAAATGGAGGGCACTACCCCTTTATATAGTGTTTACAAGAAGATTCGAGTCCACACATTTTCTAGAGATACCTAGACCACATATCAAGATATTTTCCTAGAATTCTCTAGATATTCTTTATAAAACCACATATCTTACTTAGATATTTATATAGATTTTTCTAGTAGATATTTATATAGATTTTTCTAGATAATGCTTCTAGAAATGCTATGCATGTTGGGCCTTTTAATTGATTTGGGCTTATAAGCAAAATCCTTAAACCCATATTATTTAGTCCAAAAATCAAGTTTACTACTCAACAACCTCGACTCAAAGAAAGAACAATAGAAAAATGGCCCATGCTGGAGATGAGTAAAGAATGACGCTGTTGACACGCTAAAAGTGCGACTACCCGCGCGAAACAAACGCGAATCAGATTGATCCCACCCATACTTGGAGAGATTTCAAGAGTACCATCCATTGAATACATCCTTAGTGGGAGTCTTTGTGCAGATAAGGGAGAAAAAAGATCCTTCGCAAGCCTCCACCATTGAGGAAGAACTCGACTGACCTCAACCACATAAAATACTACTACACTAATGAGTATCGATACCTCATAGTAGAAGCGGGATCACTCATCTGACATGCACAGTTGCTTGAGTTCATAGATAAGCCTAACAAAGAAATAGGGATCCCCACTTTCGATCAATTGAATGTTCCTCTACCTCTATTTTTGATATTATTATCCTTAACCTTTATTTTTTTATTAGCGGCTATGGAGATTTTAAAGTTAAAAATCGTGTCTATGGAGAAACCTTAGCAGCACATTATGTCAGAGAAAAATCAGGAAAATATGTCTTTTACGTCAATAAGTGCAAAAAGAAAAGTAAAATAGCCAAATTCTACGATTTTCTCAAAATAATGCTACACATTTATATTGAAAAGCTTCACATATAATTGCTATGAATTAAAAGTTTGGAAAGCGTGCATATTTTTTTTTTTTTAAAGATTTAAGACTCTACCGAAAATTTCCGTGCATAAATAAGTACTACACATGAAACAATAGCATTAAAGCCCCTGTTTGAGCCCCATTTTTATCTCATTAAAATGAAAAATATGATCGTTATCCATCACATCAAGCCACCATTTTTGAATTTCTATCTCTGGTGTAGGGTCCATAACGACTCTATTTCTCATTTTCATTATAATGTGGCTCAAACAGGCTCAAAATATATTATTAATGCAAGAACTGTAGCACTTGAATAGCAAATGACATTGAAGTTTTCTCATCTGCGTTAATATCATAATTTTATGCCTAATTAATATAACCTAGCTAAAAAGGAGAATTCGTTGCCTCTTATAAATAGATATATTAATTATTGTGATACAACAAAAAAAAAAGGAATTTTTCTTTAGAGCATGTTTGATAGAGATTTTAATCCAATTAAAATCAATTTTTTGATCGTTATTTCACTATTTCAACTGTCATTTTTGAATTATTCTTTCACAGATAGGACATATTTTATCTCTAACGGTCAAAAAATCAATTAACAAAATTTCTACCAAGAGCTTGTTTGTCAGTGATTTTTCACCCAAAAAAATTGATTTTTTGACTATTATTTTATTATTCCAGCCGTAAAATTTGACTTATTCTCTCACAAGTGGTCATCACTTCTTTTTCTAACGATCACAAAATCAATTCTCAAAATCACTCCCAAACGGGACCTATACAAGCACTTAAACTGAAAAAGGTCTTTCATCTAAATTTTAAAAAAATTGAAAAAGAAAGCAATTTTCTTTTGGAATTATTTACATTTTCGTTTTAGAAAACTGAATAAATTAATTCCATATAGTATATGGAGAAAAAGGCCAAAATAAAATAAAATAATAATAATAAATAAATTCAAGTATTAGTTAGGCCTGGGTTGAGCCCAGGTTCGTCCCAGGTCGAAATTCCATGCCTAATCCATAACCAATTCCATTTGTCAACTGCTATATTTGTACACATTTCTTTTCAAACGGTCCGGGCTTATTTGTAGCACTGAGTAATTAACTTAGCGCGTCTGTCAGAAGAAGAAGTAGAAGTAGCAGCAGCAGCAGTGATACAGAAATGGAAGTGAAGGTGAAAATGATAATGAGAGGGTGGTTCGCCATGGTTTCGCTCCTAGTATGCACCATAATTTCGGTGAGATCGGATGCATCCAATCATCAATACAAAGTCGGAGATTCTGTGCCGCTTTACGCTAACAAGGTCGGACCTTTTCACTGTTGGAAATAATGTTACTCCACCAAAGATATTATGAGAACGAATTACAAACAAAATAAAAAATCGAAAAAAGTATAGGAGATGAAGAAATAGCAAAGTATATATGAAGAAATTGAAGGCTCAAACACAATCTTTGATTGTTGTCCTCAAACGAATTTTGCCCCCACTATTTTGGTGTTTAAAGGGTGATCCGGCAAAAGATTTGAAGGATTAATCAAGCCTTATAGAGATTCAAACACTAAACACTTGTTTGAATCTCTAAAATTTAAGAACACAAAGAAAAAGATAAGTATGAGAGGGTATTTTCTTTTGGATTTGATCTCAAGAAGTATCAATATAATAGGTGTTTTTTCAACATTTTTCAATGACCCAAGATTACATATTTATAGCCAAGTAGTATAACTTCACGAAGTGGTGCACCTTATAGATGAAAAGCCACCAAAAAACCAACAAAAAACGACCCAACGGTCGACTTTTCTGTACCATGCGGCCGCATGGTACAATCCTACGGAGTATGAGAGGGTATTTTCTTTTGGATTTGATCTCAAGAAGTATCAATATAATAGGTGTTTTTTCAACATTTTTCAATGACCCAAGATTACCTATTTATAGCCAAGTAGTATAACTTCACGAAGTGGTGCACCTTATAGATGAAAAGTCACCAAAAAACCAACAAAAAACGACCCAACGGTCGACTTTTCTGTACCATGCGGCCGCATGGTACAATCCTACCGAGACCATTTAGTCTCGGTAGGGTTCCATGCGGCCGCATGGCCTAACTCTTTTTTTTTTTTTTTTTTTTTAATGTTGGTTCGAACAATCATACCACTTCATAACAATCCCCCACTTGTTCAAAATTAACAAGTTCTCATATTCAAATTATACGATATTTATGCGTAAGGATTAGATATTTTTCGATTTGAATCTAACCATAGTGTAATTCAAACAAAGTAAAGTCGAAATTCAAGGTAGCGTGAAACTTTGAATCAAGTATTTCATATGACAATACCGGTAAGAACACACACACGAATATCACGTGTTCTCAAGTCCTCGTTTCTCGCTTAGCGCTTTTATGGCCTTGCGCTTATCCTTTTCAATAAACTTTTAAGAGAGAACTCCAACTCTCTATTAAAGCGGCACCACCTTGAAGTTTATTTAGGTAAAGTTCTTCAAGTATTTCATATGACAATACCGGTAAGAACACACACACGAATATCACATGTTCTCAAGTCCTCGTTTCTCGCTTAGCGCTTTTATGGCCTTGCGCTTATCCTTTTCAATAAACTTTTAAGAGAGAACTCCA